AAACAAGATTCTGCTCTTTGGCTAAGTTATGCATTTTATGTGTCTGTATGTAAGAAAATGGGGTTATCTATATCTTCTAAAATGCCTTAATGAATGGAAAAAGATATGGTTAGGTTACAAAGTACAGAGGCATTTGCTTTTGGAATCATTATCTGGGAGGTTTTGTGCTTTTCTTCCTCCTTTGCCTTATCTCTTTCCCCTTTTCACAGTTCACACATACACAGAATGTGTCATTCATTGTAATGATAAAGCAAGTACTGAGTGTTTAGCTTTCATTCTTGTCCTTGGATGTTAAAACTGACAGCTTAGCACCTCTATTACTTTTTATCTGTGAGTCATTGGCCTTGCCAGCACTCAAGATAAGAAAGTCTCACACTTGCCAGGGGCAGGAAAAGAAAAAAAAACAAAACAAAACAGGAAAATGGAACAGAGCCCTGGGGCTGGACTATACTAATTAAAAATGGGCAGTAGGTGGCTATTTTGAAAGTGGATGGGGCTTGCATAACTGGTAAAATTTAGGCAATTTCCACCGGAAAGTGAACTTTCACCCTTCAGGTTAATCAGTGCAAGTATCAGGAGTGGAAAAATCCCACTTTGTCCCATTTTAATCAAAATGTTAAATGAGTCCTAGTTAAAATGAATTTGACTATCCTCACACTAAATCTTATTCATGAGACATTAGCCACAAATACTGAGAATCAACCACTGTGTCCTGGTTGTGTGTGTTTGTGTATATATTAAAAAAAACAATTATCATAGGAAAATTAGCAATTCACTTAGCCTGTTTCTGGATTACTGTTATCTAATGATAAATTTTGGGAAATTAAACATAATTGTATGTTCATTTTCTGCCGTAATGCATTTCTGGCTGCTATTACAGAATGCCTGAGGCTAGGTAATTTTTTTTTTTTAAAAAAGCAATGTATTTCTTATAATTCTGGACACTGGCCAGGGGTCCATATCTGCTAAGGGTCTTGTCCCTGCATCATACCACAGCACAAGGTATAGCCAGTGCATGAGAGAGAATGGCAGTGAAAGGAGGCCAAAAAGGCTCTTAGAGCAAACCAGCTTTAAGGGTGAGGCACTCTTGTGATAAAGGCATGCGTCCTTTCAGGAGCACCTCCATGGCTCAACTACCTCTTCAGAGTCCCACTGCTTAACACTCTTGCTTTGGAGATAGCATTTCCATCACATTAATTCTGAAACATATTTTTAAAGCATAGCACTTTTCTTCTTCTATCACACTGTTTTTTCTTCCTCTTCAGACTGTCTTTCCTGACACTCTGCTTTCATTTCTATTTTCTACACACTAAAAGGAATCAGTTCTTGTCTGCTCAGATAGATGCACACCCAGTGGAATGTCTTTCTGCCCTTCAGTTCATAAAAGGTTTGGAAAGTCTGTGAAAATCTTACTTTGAATTATAGTTTCCATTGGCATAGCTCCGCTATGGCCAGCATGGTTAAGGATATATTGAGAAGAGAGCAGTCATATTTAATGTGTGCTACGCCCTTTCCGTGTCATTATCTTTTACTCTCCCGGTGGCCATGTGAAGTTCTGGACAAGCATAAGCCATACCCATAAAGCATCGTCTGATTATTGATTGCCAGTTATGATTACTTTGAAGTAGAACAAGATGTTAAAGATGCTTGCAAAAGCACTGTGTAAGGACTTCTCCTAGTTATTTATAGTCCCCCTACTATGGTTTGAAATGTGTCCCTCAAAGTTCATGTGTTAGACACTCAATTCCTAACACAACAGTACTGAGAGGACCTTTAAGAGGTGATTAGGTCATAAAGGCTCTGCCCTCATGAATGGATTAATGGCATTATTGCAGGAATGGGTTCCCGATAAAAGAGGTGAAACCAGCACCCCTCCCCTGTGTAATGCCTTTTGTCATAGAATTATGCAACAAGGCAGTCCTCACCTGATGTGGACTCCCTTGACCTTGGACTTTCCAGCCTTCAGAACTGTAAGAAATAAATCTCTGCTGATTACAAGTTGCCCAATCTTGGACATTCTGTCATAGCAATACAAAATGTACTCTGAGACCCCTTCCCACTTTTCCAGTTGTCTTGTCTTCATCTAATTTGACAGCCTTGATTTGTAATTACCTTTAAAGGATACTTCCCAAGCTTCAAACTCATGATCAAAGAAATGAAGTCATTTTCTTATGTTCATATTTATTTGGTTTATACATTATTCAATTGTGTAGCTATGGATATATACCAGTCTGGCACTACTGAGGACCAGCACCTGATTGGTAGCAGCGCATGCAATGGATGTTCTAGGGAGGGGCTGGGAGCCTCCAGATTCCAGCTGGTCATAGGCATCAGCCAACAGATCTTATAGAGAGGACAAAAAGTGACAGCTAATCCAGTGGGCTGATAAATAGAGCTAGATAAAAGAGATTTTATTGTATTTCCAACTTAGTGATTGACAAACGATCTATGCAACACTGGATGCACTGGGAGCACACTGGAGGACTAGTTAAGCAGGACTTAGGGAAGTTTTCTCCAAAGGAGGGATACCTAAATAGAAGCACAAATCAACCAAGCAGAAGAGGGACAAAGAGTGATTTGTATAGAGCCACCAGCAAGTGAAAGAGGGCAAAGGGCACAGCTGGAAAGAGAATTGCAAGTAGTTCCTAGAGTAACGGGGGGGATGCTGAAATATAATGAATTAAAGAGGTAAATAGGGACCAAAATGCAAAGAAAGCTGCATAGGTCACTCTAAAGAATTTGAACTTTACTCTGAGGACAATGGGAACTGGTGAAAAGAATTAGGGAGTTGAGTCACAGGCTCGGATTGAAGCTTGAGGGATATCATTTGACTGCATTGTGGAAAGAGGTCTGGAATGCCAGATAGGAGGGGGCTGTGGCAGTAATCCAAGCAAGAGCAGAAGGTGGACCGAATTTGTGCAACATCTGTGAAAGTACACACAAGATGCATTTAGAGCCATAGCTTCAACAATTCTTGCTAATTAATTGGATATGGTGATGGTGATCGTGACCAATGTTAAAGGTGACTCAGGATTGAGGGCAGTCATCCGGATGGAGGGAGGTATTCTTAGGGGACAGTGAACATGGGAGAAAAAAAGTCAGTGTAAGGGGCAGTGAAATGTGCAAGTAATTCAGACATGACACATTTGAATATCTCATTCTAGATGATCTGTAGGTGGTTGAATGTATACATGAGTGTACTGTTTTCTGTAGGAGAAAGATCTGAATTGGAAATATGAATGCCGTGAATATCAGAAATTAATACAAATTTAGTTCATGGGAAAAAATGAAATAATACAAAGAGAGTGTAGAGTGGGAAAAGAAAATGAATGAAATGTCACCCCAATGGTAGAAAATTTGTGCTTTACTTCTATTATGTGTATGACATCACCATCCTCCCATCCCCTTGCCCATACATAATGGAATGTATATACAGGTATTTTTCTTCTTTTTAAAAACTCCAGTGCATAAGTCTGATTTTCCTTATATGAAATACATGGGTGATTCAGAGCTGGAAAACCCACAGCATGACTGTAATGAATCTTGCCCATTCACAAGGAGGCACAATCATAATTTTAAATTATAAATATTTTTATTTGTAAATCATTTAAAAAGATGATAGGGTTGATGCCAATGGCAGCTGAAGAGAATATGGGATAACTTGTCTAAAATAGGGTGTGTCAACTTCAAAGTGGGTCTTTTCATTTTCCTATGAATGTGAGCACCACGGATACAGGGATTTGCTACGGTGGAAATCGGTGGCTATTAGATCAGGGTTAAGGTCTCAGCTCCACAAGCTACTCCCAGTCCTCCATGAGAGCAGTTCAAGCGGCCCCCAAGGACACACAGGCTTGGGCAAACAGCACACAACAAGGTATCTGTAGAAGTAAAAGCTTAAAGTAAGCTTCCAGGTTTTGTTTTTGCCCCAAATTAGTTAGTTACCTTTTCTGAGTCTATTACTTTGCCCAGATTACTCCGGAGAACAGAGTTCGCAGATGATCTTTGAGATTTCCATCATGTTTAACATTCAGAGGCCCCAGTCACCTGCAAGAGAAGTCAGCACAGACTTCCCTGGGAAGTCTTGTAGCCTGAATCCATCCTTACCTTCATTCACCCGCCCCCAAAGGGAGGCAAGTACTTTTAGCCTGGTAGCATTCTCAATCAAGATATGTCAACTGGGGATTTAGCTCAGTGGTCCTGGCGCCTGCCTCGAAAGTGCAAAGTCCTGAGTTCGATCCCTGGTACCAAAAAAAAAAAAAAAAAGAAAAGAAAAAAGAAAAAAAGTCATCACTCAAAAGCTACAATAGATCAAGATGCATATACTAAATTTTTCCTCTAAGATCCAAGTAAATATGACTTTTATTATGCCTATTACCTGGAATCTATGATTGCCATCTCTGGTTGATTGTAAGGTCATTTAGCCCCATCTCTATCCAGAGAACTAAGGCTCGCTATTTGTAACTTAATACACCATTTCCAAAACCATGACTTTTACATTTCATTATCATTTTTATTTCTGGTGCTAATTTATGGAAAAAAATAACTGCAGTGGCATTAATGTTAAAAGAATTTCATTTTCATGGAAACCAATGTTTGATCCGTGGATGGTTAAGATAATACATATAGTTTTTTAAAATTTGGAATTGAAAGGTTTCCTGCAACGGAGCTAATATAACTTTATTCCGCAGGGTTCCCTCCAACTCTGAGAACTAGCCTATCATTTGCTCACTAGTTTGCTCATTCCCTTTCGCCCTTCAACTTCACTTGATAGATGGTTCCTAGGACGTAGTGGAGACTGGAGAGGCTGGAAAATGTAACTGAATTTCCTGCAATCTCAGATCCACTTTCTCCCGTGCCTGGGCCAGGGATGTAGCCTTGTTATTGTCACGTGGGCGCCGGGTCCACCGCGGTCTGGGAGCCAATGGGCGCGCGCCGGCCTCCTGCGCCCCGCCTCGCAGCTCTGCGGCGTGGGGACTTCTAGCACCGAGGCGGGGGAGGAGGCGAAAAAGTTTCTTTCCTGGCGAAAGCTTGCAGACATCGTTCCGGCTGTAACTGCCGCAACTGGCCGTCTTTTTAGGTTTCGCTCCTGCTGCTCAGGGGCATGAGAAGTTTTCGCGAACAGGAGTGAAGAAAGTTTACCCGGGAGCTCGAGAGAGGAGCACGCGGTCGGGATCCCGGAGTCCACCCACTCTCGCCTAGAAGTTTGTGCCGAGCCCGGGCGCAGGCTGCAGAGCGCCCGAGCCAGAGGCCGCGGGACTGCGATGGGCGCGCTGGGGCTCCGTGCTCCCGCTGCGGCGCTGGGGCTGCTGCTGTGCGCGGTGCTGGGGCGCGCGGGCCCGGCCGAGGGCAGAGTGCGCGGCGGCCAAGGGGCGATCGGGCAGCTCGCCGGGGTTGCCGCTGGACGCCCGTGCCCGGCTCCCTGCCGCTGCCTCGGGAACCTGCTGGACTGCAGTCGCCAGCGGCTGACACGTCTTCCCGAGCCGCTGCCGTCCTGGGTCACTCGGCTGTAAGTATTCTTACTGTGGACGAAGGGGATCGCGCCGCCCGATTCCGGCAAACCGGAGCGGGCGAGGGCCCGGTGGCTTAGGGATCGGCTTGCTGCGTCTTCTCCAGGCAGCTGTTCCCTGCCCAGGCCTCTGAAGGCGCTTCATGGGGGTGGAAAAAGAACTGGGTGGCCTCAGCTTTCCTTCTGCGCGCTGCGCAGGTGGGCGCTTGGCGCGCCCCATCAGGGCACAGATGGAGGAGGGGAGGGGACACTGGCAACTGCCAGGGCCACGCTGGTCTGCGTGCTCCTTCCAGGCAGACGACCCGAGTTTATCGTTTTCCTTCAGAGTTTAAGAGGGTGGCTCCACGTCGGATTCTACCTAGTTCAGGATCCCTTTCCCCTTTCCCCTTTCCCAGTCAGTAACTGCACGCGAGCCTTTCGTTTGGGAAGCTCCAACACCCAGTTCGGTCACTGTTCACGCTACGATAGACACTTTTGTTGCTTCTTCCCGCGTGCTTAATTCACATGAGTAGACTATAAATCTCCCTCCTGGGCCACACTGCAACACGTCTTAGTTCCCATAAAAAGTTAGGTGGTACTGATCAGCAGATAAGGAAAAGAACAAACTAGTTTTTTCAGAACCAAGGGCATGATTCCTGTAGCTTCTCAGCACGCCCAGACAGTTCTGGGAGAGCGCGGAGCGTTGTTATGCAAGCTTTTGGATTTTAACCGTGAAATCTGAAAACCTGAAATCACTGCCAACTGCAGGGAAGAACAAGGAAGAAAATATAATTTAGTTGGAAATACTAGACCTTTCCAATTGCCACTTCTCTTTTTAGTCACCTAGCCTCTAGCTTCGTTAAAGTTGGAGGAGTATTGTAAAACTAAACGAAAATATTTTAAAACTTGTATTTTCTTTAAACAAATATAGTCTCGTTTAAAAGAAATGAAACTGCAGTTCATACTTAATCTCAGATTTGGGCCTAGTAGAATTGCAGTGGAAAGTCTCAGTTCTTAAACAATTGTAGTAGACAATCCTAGTGTAATAACAGTGATTGAAGGCTTGGTCTAGTACTTTAATAAGTTGTTTTTAAATATTGTGCTAATATAAATTCTTTTACTTATGAATTGTAGTATTATTGACCATTAAACAGCATGTTCTTTGTGTTTTTAATAAACTGCATTTTAATAAAGTTGAATTCAAGAGTATTAGATTGATTGGATTGATATTTAATATCATATCATGAGACGTCTTCAGTTTTTATTACCAGTGAAGGAGATAAGGGCTTTAACCTAAAGCAGGAAGACTTTCAATTAGTTGTGGCTAATTCCATTCAATTGCCTCTTGTGGGGGTCAGCGTGGTGCATTCATGAGATGTGAATGGCTCTATTGACAACATATGGAACCAACATGTGAATGACTAGAGGTGAACACCTATAAGTAACAGAGGGATGAGGAAGAACGTGAAAACAGTGGTCCCTGGAGTGTGCTTAGAAATATTTTGATTATGCACTGAGTTTAACTTTGTTCAATAGTTTTGCAGTGCCAAGTAGTAGCCTCTTGGAGAATGCTAATGTAAAAAAAATTTTTCTAGGGGGAGGGAATTAGATGTCTTTAAAGAAATAACTGTTGTTGCCCTTGATAAAAAGTTGAGTTGAACCAAAGGGGTTTGATACCTATTTAAACATTGTCTTAAAAGTAGCTGACCCAATTAGGATTTTGTTTTGCAGATAATTTGGTGGCACACTAAAAACAAATTACAGTTTATTTGGTTAGCACAGTCTTTAATTACATTTCCGCCAGCAATAAATTGTCTCAATACAAGTCCACATTCCTTAAATGTATGTGAAAATAAGTTCCACTTGTATAAATAAGTACTCAGCCTGTTGTCAGAAGCCCTGCTGTGATCACTCATTGAGCAGCCCTGTCATTCTTGTACTTCTGTGACTTCTAACCATCTTTGTAGGTGTCACCAAACCATGTGGTCTAAGTTCTTCATTGTAAATGTTTCTTTTGTCTGTTCCTGAAGCCCTAGAGAGGTCTCTTCTCCACTTTTGAAAGGAGAAAAAAAAAAGAAAGAAAAAAGGAGTGAAGAAAGGAAGGAAAGAAAAAGAAGAAATTGTATTTTACTTTCTGTTATTTGCTGTATTTGGAATAAGTTTAAGAAACTGTAGGCTGTTACTTAAATTTTACATAATTGGAAAAGCTCTTACATAGGCACTTTCGTAGTCCAGAAAAAGTAGCAAAAGGCATATTGTTCTCCGTATCTTCCTTTCTCTTTCTTTCCGTAATTTAAATACTAAAAGTTTGTCTTAGTACTAGTTTATGAAAGTATTCCTTAGAAAAAATAAAATGTTTCTGTGTTTCATTTGTTGAATTTGCAAGTTAAAAACATACATATTTTCTCTACCTTATTCAGTTGTAATTTATTGCTATAGGAGCCCCATGTGTAAAAAGTTGAATAGTTTGAGTTATAAAATAATAATACTGTACTCAGTGTTTCAGAAAGTAACCTCTAATACTGTACTTTAATGAAAAGGGCTGTTACAACTGTACCTATTTGAGATTGGCCTAGAGTTTGTGATTACAGAGTTTGGAACCTAAAGAGCAGCTCTTGTTGGAATGTTATTTAGCCGAAAGTTGTTCAGTTGCCAAAGAGAGCTTCAATTATTATTAAATTTTCATTCGAATTTTAGAATTGTTTATCTTATTAGATAGAAATGTTTGAGTTCTCAACAGAGCTCAGGTGAAGTCTGGAAGGTAGTTTCTGCTGATGTGACTTTGGTAGTGCTGGCCTGGTATAAATCTTCTGGTCCATACCAGAATTGGGGGTGGGGTGGGGGTAATAGTCTTTAGGGTTTTCACAGCTGTTTTTCTGTATTTTCCAGACTAAAGCTCGAACATAGCTGGCTGATTTATGAGTCACTTTGGATCAGTGTCTTAAAACAGCTACAGCCTGGTTTTTTGTTTTTCAGCTTTCCAGATTTCTGCTGCATTAGCAGCTCTGCAGGCCCCAGTGGGATTGATTATGAAGCTGCACTGTATTTGCATTTTAAAATTTGACTTGGAAGTCAGATTTCCCAATGCGAAGAGGAAGAAAATGATAGCTGGAACCAAATATTGTAAATTAATTACTGTCCTATGGATTTATTTGTTTGCAAATATTCAGAAAGAGGCTTTTCTCTACCTTGTAGAAAGAGTTTTAATTTTCAAGGATTTGGCTAGCTATGTCTTTTGTAAATAGTTAACACCTCTCTATCTCATCCCCTTTCCCTTTTATTAACTTCATTACAACAATTTTTTTTAAAAAAAGGGAAGATGTTCATTAATAGGACTCTGAAAACGAAAAATCTCCCTTCCTTATTGAATGTTTTGTGTTCTGGGTTTAAGAGAACATTGACATTATATAACTTCAGTCTCTTTTTCAGTAGTCTAGCCATAAAAACAATATAAGGAAGATTTAGGAAAATGTGACATCCTTTAACTGGAAAGTAATCATTTCTGAAATGTAAACTATATGAAATCTAAATTTAGTTGCGTTAAAAGTTTCATGACTTTTAAGTATTTAGCAGTGAAAGTCACTTAAGGGTTGATTGTTTTTTCTTCTCCCTCATATAATGTGGTTTTAATAGCACACAAAACTCAGGAATGGAAGTATGTTGCAATAACTGAAATATTTAAGGTTGCCAACTCCTGCTTCTGATCCAAAATGAGTGGTCTGCAGCATGTGTACCTGTCTCTAAAGGCAGTTTCACTTTTAAAGGTCTTTGCTTAGGGGAATCTCATCCCATTACTGGTGAAAAAAGTTAAGCATTCAATCTCATTTCTCATAGGATTGCCCCACGAAATGATCCTTACGATGAAATGGGGAGTGTAAGTTTAGCTTCGTGTGTTTTTTTAATTAAAAGGAAAATCACCTGTATTAGATGGCAGTGCCAGATTGGTTCTTCCCCCTTTGCTTTTAAAACTGGAAAGGTCTGGGGTGCAGGTTCAGTATTCCTGAATTAAGTGGGTCCAAATGAGACTTTCTGTGGACTCAGACTCCCTCCCAGGTGAAGGACTCTTTTCCTTGGTTGTTTGTGAAACCACGTGGGAAATCTGTGGCCGTCTGGGGTGCTAAAAGCACACAGGTTTTGTTTGAATCCTAACGTGAGTTATTGGGCTCACAGTTTCCTTGATGAACTCCAGATGGACTTGAGCCGGACGGTGAGGGAAAGTGTCTGGCTCCAGTCAGCATGGTGAGCATGCACAGCAGTGGTTGTAATTGCAGGATTTTTATAGTTTCAAGTCTGTGCCAGATTTTTTTTTTTTTTTTTCATGTTATAACTCTACCAGAACAAATCTACTCATGTCTGTTACTGTCTGGTAGGTCTCTAGGCAAATACATTTTGAATAAAACCTTTGCAGTTTTTTTTTGAAGGTAAAATAGAGAAATCCAGGTTTACTCTCAAAACAAAAACAGAGAGACTATAGGAACTCTGATTTCTAATTGTTAACTAAGCGCTAAGTAACACTGTGCTTCTCTGGAGCTGATTTCTCTTCATTTTTGTTTTATGAGCACATATTCATGCATGTAGCATAGTTTATGCTTTTCAACTTTACACTGAAAACTGAAACTTTAGTTATTGTAAACATTGAAAGAATTCATTAAGTGTTCACTTACCTCTTTCGATGGGAATCACCAAGCCATACTGTTTATTAGCCTGGGATCTAGTAGCTGTTCAGCCATTTCATTTTCATTACCCCATTTTGAAGCTATATAGTCAAGGGTATTAAAACATACAAGGAATATAACCAAACATGTTTTCCAGATTTTGTTTCATATTTTGAATTTAAATTCTGACATGACTTTATAACTTAACTGTGTGTGTAGAAAGAAGCTCATTTTTCGGAGTATTGCTAGCTATGGAAATCTAGTTAGACTGAGTTACTTATCTGCTAAGTTAGACTGAGTCTTTGAGGAAGAAGCATATTTATTTCAGTGATTGAAATCTGTTTGATACATGGTTGACATGGTTTAAATTATGTGTTAGATGATCATATAGTGAGATTTGGGGGGGTTCACCTAGGTAGTGTATGTCCTTTTGAACAAACTCACGCATGCATGCACATGCACATACATATACACACACTGTCATGATATGGTAAATGAACTTGTGCCTTAATCCAGAGAAATAAATTTGCATGAAAAACAGTTTCTTTTTTGTTTGACTTCATAAGACCATTGATGCTTAATTTTGTGACAATAAAAAGTTTTCTGTTCAAGGCTCTCCTTTTAGCAACCTGCCTAATTAGACACTTTTTGTAAGCTATGATGTCATCATATCAGGTTGGGAGTGGGGAGAAGGGAGGGTAAAGCAAAACTACCAGTTCACAAAAGATCTGTTCACTACTCGCCAAAAAACATCTCTTAAAATGTTTGTGGGCTTAAAGTATTTGAATCTGCCAGCCTCTTAAACTAATTTTGTCCTCAGTTTGTATTTTTGAGTTTGACATTTTGGTTTCCATCTAGTTTGTAGACAGAATGGATCAATTATTTCTCTGGTTGTCACTAGTGTTATAGAGATATTTCATAAGCCCACTCTGTCTTGCATTTCATTAAGCATAACTAATATTTTTAGAAACTGCTTATAATTTTGGTTTTGTTTTCTTATAGGGACCTAAGTCACAACAGATTATCTTTCATCAAGACAAGTTCCATGAGCCACCTTCAGAGCCTGCGAGAAGTGTGAGTCCTGGTTACTTTCTACTTGAAACTTGCATGAAATTTATTGCCACTCTTCCTATTTAGCTTTCACTGTATGAATATTTGGATTACAATAAATTATTTAAAACTTGTAATGCAGGAAGTATCTTTACCTATTTAACTCCCCCCCCCCTTTTCTTGTCATTTATAGGAAACTGAACAACAATGAATTGGAGACCATTCCAAATCTTGGTCCAGTCTCAGTGAATATTACGCTTCTATCCTTGTAAGTGAATATTAGCAGAATTTCTTATCTGTGTTGGCAGATACCATATGGACTGGCATAAACAGTTTACAAACAATATTTGAATACTTCTTCCAGGGTACAATAAAGAAAGGTTCTTTAAATTGGTTGTACTGTCCCTCCTAAATTTAAGTATCTTTCAACACATAACCACACATTTTATACTTTGCTGTCATTGCTTAACTGGTTTCCAAGATAAAGAAGCAAATTTCACCTCATACAGATGCATATTTGCTTATATGCTGTTGACTCAAACTTTTAATTCTGGCTTTGCTCAGTGGTTGGCTTGAGATCTATGGATTATATATTATGTAGTTTTCAGAGAACCACGATCAGATTTTTGGTGTGTAAGAATAAATGGGAGTTGATAATAATAAACCATTAAGATAGCCTCTTAAGTTTGGTCTCTACAGGGGAAATAAGGGTTTAGAAATCTCTACTCAATATATCAGCTTTTGCAATTAAAATTAAATATGTAATTGAAGTCAGAAATATCATTGCATATTATTTTGAAAATTTGAGTTTTCAAATACAGTTAAAATTGTGTGACATTTTCTGTGTTTTGGAGGGCAGATAACACATGTATATTCATGTTTTGAGATAGATTTTGGAAGAATTTTGATTCATTGGCCTTTAAAGGTAGCATTTAGAATATTCCTGGTTAAATTTCTAAAATTAAGTAATTTTAAAAAAAATAAAATTAAGTAGTTTACTGCCTTAATCCTGAATAATTAAAAAATATTTAAGTCACTGAAGTTAAAAACATCCTTCTTTTAAGCAATTTAAGAAGAAAACACTGTTGTAAGTTGCTTTTGATAATGGCGTTGGGAGAGTTGAAATTATATAGTAAATGTCAGGAACACTGTTCAATTAATTAAAGTGATCACCATCCAATTGCTTACATCTGGTGTTTTAGAGAGGTTTGTTTTCACTGAGGGCCCAGGTCAGCCAAGTCATGGTGCAGCCGCTGTGTCTGCTTTCTTAGTTTGAATAAGAGCTAAGTGACATTTGATACTAATGTGGTTTTTCCAAAGATCAGAAACAGAAAGGAATGAAAGAATAAGCAGTTGGTATTTGACAAATAAACACTAAATTTAAAAAATATTTTTATGCTAGCATTAATACTCATTTTCTTTGTCTTTTACAATTGCTTAAAATATTGGAGTCTAAATGGAGTTCTAGTTTTGGTATCTTACAACATCTATAGCTGTTCTTGTTGACCAAGAGGGCTCCTTTGAAATCCTGCTTTGCCCTGCTGTCCTTGCCCTATGTTTTGGCAGAGTCTGTCAGCAAGTTCAAGAGAGCCTTGAGGGTCATGGCAGACTGGATGGCTGATGGGTCCGTGGTGCCATTTTGTAACCTGGGTGGGGTGACATTGAAATCTAAATGGGGCACTTTGGCATGGTTTAGGATTGAAGTATAAAAACTTGTGTGGAAATTAGAAAATTCTTTTGGAAATACATAACAGTGATTGTACCCTTTAGAGCTATAACTTGTAAACAGAAAGCTAGAATAACATCTGAAAAGTTAGAAACCTTCACAATTTGGAATCTTCTCCATATTGCTTTTGTATGTGTTTTGCTTTAGTGAGTGCTGTGTGTCAAATCAACCTCACCAATCTCACTTTTTTGCCCGTAATCTGCTCCAGTACATCTGACCAACGATTACTTTGTTCTCATATAACCATCAACCAATTAGTGCCTGCCCACATTATGTAGCCTCTGTGGAGGATAATTTATATGATGGACCCACGCATGCAATATAAAGAATAAAAAATTGTTTTCACACCTATGAAATATCTTGAAAACTTTATCTCTTTTAGTGTTTCCTTCTACAAGTGTTTTGTTTTCTCTTTGAAGGCTCCTTTAGAGTCTGCAGTACACATCAGTGTTTCTAAAGCACTTAAGTTTCCATGTTGTGTTATGTAGGGTGGGACATTTTTTTTTATATAGAAGCACTTGAAGACAATCAGAGCTAAGTACCAGTACTTATTTCAGAAATTTTAAAAGAAAATCTGTTAAACCACATGACATGACTCAGATTAGAAGCTACAACTAAATCCCATATTTTAATTTCTAGGGTTATTTTATCTCTATGTTATCAAGATTATGATTATTTTTACATTTTTATGGAGGGAAACATTTTTCTGAGATATATATGTTAAATAATTTGAAAACTTGTGTTGAAGAAAAGGAAAATTTAATTGGAGACCTGAGCATAAGATTTACTATCTGGGCTTTGTACAGTTGCTACTCCTTGGCATGAAGACCCTTCCCAGCAGAGAAGACCATACCAGGAAGACCTTCTTATAGCTGTAGGAGCTAGGAACTAATGTTGTGTCAAATGGCACAGCACCTCCCCCGCTTCAGAGATGAATTCAGTTAGGAACTGGTTCAGATAAACTTAGGGAAGCTTGGTGAAATGCCAGGCACCTGTAATGCTAGTTGGATACTCATTGAGCACCCTCATTAACCTTTTAAGGGATCTTTTAGAATGTAAAAGATCTAATCAGAACTACTTTCCCTTAAATCCTATCCAGAACTGGTTCAGAAATCAACTGGAATGCTAGGGGAAAGGCATGGTTTGTTGTATGTATGTCCTTTTTCTTTTCCTCACAATTTCATAGCTGTGACAGGATGGTATTTTTTAAGGAAAAGAAGTGGAATAATCTTTGAAATCAGCATATATTATAGTAAAAGTGCTGACCTAAGCCGGGCATGGTGGTACACGCCTGTAATCTCAGCACTCTGGGAGGCTAAAGCAAGAGAATTGCTAAATTTGAGTCTAGGCTGGGCAACTGAGTGACTTTGTGAGATCTTGTCACAAAATAAAAAATTTATTTTGCTAAGGCTCTGGGTTCAGTCCCAAGTACTACCAAAAAAAATTATTTCTCATGTGCTAGTTTTAGCTCTGTGTGATGTGGCATGACCTGGTCAAACAATAGGCATTTTAAAACCTGTCACCTGGGTTAGGGAAGTTTCAATTAAAATGTTACTGTTGGACAAAGGAAACCTTGTTGGTTATTACCAGAGCTGGTTGGGTATTAGTCATGATGCTGATGGTTTATGTAGTTTTGCCCAACTTACACATATTTGTCTGGTGTCCTGGAGTTAAAAAGTGTTAAGTCAGTGGCTGTCAAAGGTGCATTGAAGTTCTTGTTAAAAATGTAGATTCTCTAACCTCATTTTTAGACATTCTAAATCGCTGAGTTTCACTAGGCCCGGCAGTCTCCATTTTACATATCTGTCCTGCCAGTTGTTGATCAGGTATTGCATAAATATTTCTGAAGTTACTGATAGGGTCAGTGTCATAATCAAATAAACCATTTTTCTTTATTTCTTACTTATCTTAAAGGTAGAGTGTATCTGCAAATCCATCATTTTTCTTTATGTAGCCGGTCATTTTTCCAGAGATGACATTGCATGGTTCCAGAGAGGTTGTTATAAGTACTGATTACCTTTGCTGATGGCATCCCCAAACATAAGCTATATCTGTTGACAGCCGCTGAAAAGATTTAAAATACTGTGAGATGCCAGGGATGTAGCTCAGTGGTGCTGTGCCTGCCTGGCAAGCACAAGGTCCTAAGTTTGATTCCTAGTACTGAAAGAAATAAATGAAATAGTGTGTGATGATCAGATGTGGTATTTGAGAATGTCCCTGTGGCGCTGTAATGTGGAGAACAGTCTGGAGGTGGCAGGAGGGTGGTTGGAGAGGACAGGTGGAGTCCCGCAGCAGTCCAGGAGCAGTGGTGGCCTACTCTACAGTGCAGTTTCTGTCGTGACAGTAGAATACAGTAGTTGTTAAAAGCAGAGCTCAACATCAGGGGAAGAAATTGAAGAAGACACTAGAAGATGCAAAAACCTCCTGTGTTCATGGATCAGCAGGATTAATACAGCATTGTTAAACTGGCCACACTACTAAAAACAATTTATAAATTTAGTGCAGTCCCCATCAAAATACCAACAACTTTCTTCACAGAGCTGGAAAATACCACCTAAAATTCATGTGGAAGCACAAAAGATCCTGAATAACCAAAGCAATCCTAAGTAAAAAGAACAGTACTGGAGGACTCATGATACATGATTTTAAAGTATATTACAGAGCCATTGTAATAGAACATTATAGTAATGGCCTGAAAATAAACAGGTAAACCAGTGATATAGAATAGAAGATCCAGAAATAAACTCATTTGGCTATATTCATCTGACTCTTGACAAAGTTATCAAAAGCATATGTTGAGAAGATAGTTTCTTTAACAAAACAAATGGTGCTACGAAAACTGGGTATCCACTTGGAGAAGACTGATGATTTCTGTCTCTCAACCTTTGTAAAAATCAACTCAAATGGATCAAAGACTTTAATGTAAAACACAAAACTTTGACACTACTAGAGGTAATGACAGGGGAAACACTTCAAGATGTAGCCATAGGCAACTACTTCCTGAATAGGATTCTAGTAGTAGAATGGATAAATAAGATTGCGTCAAATGAAAGAGCTTCTGCACAGTAAAGAAAATATCAAAGTGAAGAGACAACCTCCAGAATGGGGGAAGATCATTGCCAGGTATTTTTCTAACAGAGGACTGATACCCAGAATATAGGAAGAACTCAAAACACTTAAGACCAAAAGAACAAAGTAATCAGCCAATGGGCAAATGATCAGACACTCCTCATAGAAGTACCAATGCCCAATGATTATATGAAAAAGTGTTCACCATCATTAACCATTAGAGAAATGTAAATCAAAACTAAATTGAAGACTTGAGGTATAGTCAGTGGTAGAGTGTGTGCTTAGCATGCATAAGGCCCTGGGTTTCATTAATCTCTAGCACCAAAAACAAAAACAAAAACTAAACTGCAATTGAGCTCCCATCTCAACGCAGTCAGAAAGGCCACCATCAAGAATACCACTAATGGGGGCTCAGTGGTTTCGCCGCCTGCTGCACAAGCGCAAGGACCTGAGTTCAATCCCCGGTGCCAAAA